GATACGGATGGGAATGTGTCCGAGATCCTCAGCAGCTGGTCTCCTCCTTTATTAACGATATAGCAAAATTAGCTATTACATAAAGGTTTGTCATTGCACGCATTTTTAAGGAGGGGATATAAAATCTTCTCCATTTTACTGACTGAGGAAGTTAAGACCCAGAGAACGGAAGTGATTATTCACAGAGACGGAGGGGATATTTAGTCCCAATTTCTATATAATAGACCGTGCAGAGCATGTAACAGGCCCTGAAATAACCGTCACATTGCAGAGATGCATGTGTTGCTTTCCACTGCAAAGACAGAAGATATCCATTGCTTTTCTTTTTAACCAACTCCACGATCCCTCTTTTCTTTTTGCTCTAATTTTTTTTTTTTTTTTTTTTTTAGCTAGTATCTTGAAGTGATAGGATAGATGATTTGTTGCCAGCAAAACGTTGGTGAATCACTTAAACACTAGAAGTAGTGTGGTCAGTGGTCAGGCTGTAAGGTCTTCCATAGCAGTCCATCAGTCACGATGGAACAGGAAGCACGCAGCTGTTTGCTTGGACATTGCCACTGAATGCTTGTGATAGCAGGTGAAACTGGGGCTTCTGGCAACGTGGGGAGCTTAGCCTGCTACAGCAAAGGTGCTGAAGAGGAAATGGTGCTAGGAATATGGTGTCACTGGAGCCAGGAACACAGAAGCCCCGTTATTTGCTCTCTAACTTCAGGTCTCAGGCCACTTCTTTGAAAGTGCAATACCAGCACTCGGCAGAGGGCTGATAATGTGTTGCCACAGCAGCACGACTTGTCCCTGTTGACGTTCTGGTGCAAAACACTAAAGGGAAACATCTTAAAGCAGACTGGCTCGGAGCAGCTAGGTGAATTCAATCTCTTCTGAACCCTCTTGCCTCCTCAGGGCCCTTATACAGCATGAGGACACCGAGCCAAATGCTTACAGGCCTCTTGGGCAGTTTGTGTCTTTTCTGCTTGTGTGACACGAGGAAGTTCAATGGACCTGGTCTTGTCAGACTAAAGCCAGCTTTGTATTTCCTTAGCTCAATATTTGCTGAGGTCCAGGAGAGCTGCCTGCACCTTGTGGTCCTCGGCACTTAGTCTGCTGAATTCAGGAGGGTTCTTGCCATTAACTTTTCTAGAATTCTGAAATCATCTGTGCTTTCTGTCCATGGATACTGAAGTGGGCAACCATCAGTAAGCACAGCAATGGTTAAGAGGCCATCTTCCCATGTGCTGTAAATCAAGACTGCCACAGTCAAAGTCAGAAATTGGGATGGCTGGAGGAGGGGGGAGAGGCAGAAAGCTTGGGAATCTTGCAGCTGTTTTCACGTCTTTTCTCCAGCAGAATTTCTTCAATTAGAAGCAAGGATTTTATGCAGGAAAACGGGAGAAATCAGATTGCACAAATGCTTTTTTCTTTTTTTTTTTCTTTTTTTCCCCAGGAGCTGCCATAAGTTGCATTATTGAGTGTTATTTTATTCCTCTCCTCTCTCTCTACGGAACTGCAAAAGTGACAGTGCTTTAAATGGAAAGATTTGCAGCAAGCCATCAGTCATTGTGCATGGAGGATATATCTCCTGGTTTAGTCTTGCTCTTGCTTCCATAAATCAGCATAGCTAAAATATTTGTGGTTGTCTGTAGGAGATTTATGCAGGTGGGAGATTAGAGTCAGTCTGTCATTTTTGTGGGGGAAGTGAGAGATGGAACGGGCTGGGGAATGCTGGCTTGCAGGAAGGAAGGATTTATAATAATGTCAGTGGATATTTAGAGGTTCCATGGAGACAATTAGCAAAAAGTGTATGTATGTCTCTGTGTGTACGTGTCTACACATCTGATTTGGAAGCAGTTGTTCCTCTGCATCATTTTTGAGTTAATCTAGTTGGAGAGTGACATTATACGGAGGCATTCCTTTTCTCAGATCTACATTCAGTCTGACTGGAGTACATGTAGTGGTTTTTCTTAGGTCTGAAGTGTTGTGTATGTGGCTTATGCCTTGCTTTTGCTAGCATGTGCTTATCTTGCAAATGTGTTGCATTAGTGATCGCCAGGTTAAAATAGGCTGTCTGTTGTCGTACGGTGACTGGACGTGAGCTTTGCTACTATTGCTAATAATTATGACCCAGTGAGTTTCTTTGAGTAGAGGATGGAGGTGAAGGAGGGACATGAGTAATACATGCTCTAATATTGGCACCAAATTCAGGTCAGCTTTTCAGGTGGTTGTAACACTGACTCCACTGACCCTAATGATGTTTTGCTGGTTCACAGCAGTTCTGAGTGCGGCCCACTGACTGCACTGGAGGCACTGATTTACACAAGCTGACATCCCAACACTTCATTTCTGTGCAGCACAAGTGGCCCACCTGGAGTGCTGAGGATGGAAGGTCTCTGCCTGTTAATCATTCCTGTGTTATCTGAGCACTGTGTGAAGGTCATTGCTGCAGCTTCTGTTTCGCCTTGTTGCTGATGAGATCTACCTTGTTTCTAAGTACTTTCCAGGCTAGGCAAACTTCAGTGGGTAGGGATGGACGCTGCAGAGCCCCAACATCTTGTAAAGAGATTCTGGTAATCTTAAGAGTTTGTGAAATATAATAGAAATTCTCTAGACTTCTCACTCCTTTTCTATGACAGTGTGTTTCTGATTTTCCAAATACCTCTGTTGATTTTCCAAATACCTCTGTTTTGTGCCCTCTGACCTCAGTTTTTTGGGGGTTTGGTTTGGTTTTTTTTGGTGGTATTTTGTTGTTGTTTTCTAAAAAAACCTGTAGTGCAAGACAAGCAGCAAGCAGCCTGCCTTCAGAGCACAGCCTAGGGAGAACTGCACGGTGCCAGCAGACATCCTGCTCAAGTTTCTTTAGGATTTGAGGAAGGAGCAAACTCCACCTGCAGAGCTCCCCAGGTCAGCTTACTGAGCAGTCTCAGGTCTGACCAGGTGAGAACCCCGCATGCTGAACCAAGTGAAGATCCCCAATGCTTTACTAGGAGAAGAGGGATATCCTGTTAGTGCTGTTTAGGAGTAGTAATTTAAAAACAAAAACAACAACACAGAAGGTAAATCCTACTTTGTTGAAGTAGCATTGCTGTGCTTTGTCACTATACTACTAAACCTAAGTGAAAATAATGTTCAGGAACATGTGTAATATGAAGGTACTGGTGGTTAGATCAGCCTTTTTTCCTGTTAGCCGTCTTTGCCAAGACCCTATAAATCTTTGCAGTTGTAGAGACAGCCTAAAAAAGCTGCTAACGTTTTCAACTACAGAGCATAACACTGAATAAGGATAGCTGAAAATTTTCTGTCAAAACTGTGTTTAATGGAAAGTGGAGTTTTGATAAAATAGCATTTTCACCAAAAATATCTGCTTTCCATGGAGAATGTTAGTTCTTCAGTATAATATTTTGACAGAAAATTTGAAGTCTTGGGCTGAAGTATGTACAGCTGTTCGAGTCCGTCTAGTGCCATTCATATTTCTTCACCTCTTCAGATCTGAGGTATTTTGCCAACTCTGATTCTTAACATTGTGACACTTGGGATTTTTCTTCCTGCCCATCTCTGGAGTCATGACATGGGTCCTTTGGCTTTTCCTCTCCAAGCACTGAGTTCTTATGGCTTCTGAGGTTAGAGAAGAAAATCCTTATAAACGCAAGCACACCAGGAACTGGAAATTAGAGGAAGCAAATGAAAAATTCATTTTCTTCTTCCAAATGACTCTCAAGATCTTTCAGTTATTTAAAAAATTATTTTTCTGAATTGAAAGCGTTTCACAGTCTGACTAAAGATTTTGAATAACTTGAAGTTGGCAGTGCTTTCTCACATGAATGAGCTGAGAGAGAATGAGCTGGACTGGGGCTGCACAAACTTTGATATGGCAGGGATGGCTGTGCATTTATCCTGTGACGTCTGGCACAGCTTTTTCTCCGCTCCATATTCTGTTCAGTCAATAGTTTAAAATCCCTCTAAGGCTACTGTTGTCACAGTGCCAGGCCCTGGTTCACCTGTCCTGATGGTGGTATTCGTTTTAGGTCATTTAACACATGTTGCTCTCTATGCTGACTAAATTAAATCAAGATAGGAACCGCTGTACTGGGTCAGGCAGAAGGTTTGTCTCTCCTAATATCCTGCCTCAGGGAACTGCCAGCATGGTGTCCCAGGAAAAGAGGATGAGATCAGCCCAAACGCATGGTGCTGATGTTTGTTTTCCTTTACTAGTGATTCCTCGCATTCTGTTTGCATTTCTGAACATCGCTGATGGTTTTTATGATGATGATTTAATGGAACTTTGTTACAAACCTAAGGTGTATCTGCGTGGCAGCTGGAATTGGTTTGTCTCGGTGTGTTAAAATTACACCTTTGTTGCACTGATCAAAAGAGACAAAGAGGATGAAAGAGGTGAAAAGGAGGAAAAGAGAAGCCTCAGAGCTGTGGGCAGGAAGCATTGCTGTGGTTGTGCTTTCACTAGCAGAGACGCTTGACGTTCCTCATCATAGTTCGTTTTAATTCACGCTTTAAGATCTCTTTTAAATTCCAGAGTTAAAATCTTCTGCCAGTGGTGTTTGCATTTCATCTACAAGCTGTCTTTCTTAAGTACTGTGGTTGTCATTGTTCATTCCAGAATAATAGTGCATCGAATGAGGGTGTCAGATAGCTGTCTGATGAACGTACAGCTTTCTGGCAAGTGAGAAATGTGCGTGTTCCAAACTGGACCAAAAATCTCTTTTTGGCAATACTGTTACTGTAATGTTCATTTCTGCCATAATTAAGCCTTTCGTTTTTATTTTGCATTGGGTCCTTTGTTCAGAAGATAACGTCCAAGTAGCAAAACGTTATTCTAGTAAGCATCTGGAAATCTTAGACTGTGTCCATGCTAGTAAAACCAGGGATGCCTGGGAATGTTCCCAGGAATGTTCTTCAAATGTGGAATACGATACTACACTACTGAAGCAATGGAATGCTTCTGGGCAGAGCTTTGGCCCATGCCAGCTAATGTTTTTCTGAACTGTTCCCAGGTACGGGTTGGAGTGGGAAACCATTCCCAACGAGCAGCTTATCTGCAGGCACCCCGCGTGAGAGAGCTTTCTGATACAGGCAGGAGCCATTCTCTGTCAGCTGCCCTTAATGTGTTTGGGAGCGTTCTCGCACACGTTTCATTTATTAGTGTAAGTATCTGTTACACCAAGTTAAAATCTGGCTGTCCCCCTCTCCCCCACCCCTTTTTGTGTGTCATCTTTTTAAAGAACGTGCTGGTGCCACTGAGCACATTCCAGGAAGTTGTTTACATGATGTTTATTTGAAATTACTCTCCAGTGTGTGTCACTGTAGTTGATTCCATGTTCAGTGATTTCCTTTGATCAGACAGAATATATCAATTAAAAATGGTGTTTATGGGCATGAACTTCATGCAGCAGTGTGTGTGAATATGTTACAAACTTCTGAACTGTTTTCATTATGTTGTATTGGCTGTAAAGAAGGATCAAAGATGTACTTTAGGACAGCTTTTGTATGTAGTAGGAAGTTCCAACCCCGGAGTAGTATGGTTTGGGGAGGTAATCCAACTAAAGAAACACTATAGATTCATTCTTATCTGTTTGAGGGTCCAGGAATAGTGGCTGATGTAAAATTCAGGCACTTCTGACATAGACATCAAATAACTCAAAATTCAGTTGATTTGTCAACGGGGCTCAGAAATGAGTGCTTTGGGTTCCAGGATGGGAATTCAGGCGTTGGCTCCGTGTTACTTTCTGACAGCGTCTTTAACAGCCAACAGAGAAGGGGTTGTAAATGGGCCCAAGTGATTCTGGTGAGCACCTGAGCATTTAGAGTGTGCAGTGTCTCAGTAATAGGGCAAAGCTGCAATGTGAAATGTGTAATTGAGGCATGGAAGATATAAATGCTATAATGACGGGAGCTGCACGCTTGCAGAAGGTTTTCCTCTGTGACTGCAAGCAGCTTTGCAGCTCCTTTAAAACAAGACATCAAGCAGGTGCCAGTTTGCTGGTTTCCATGGGGACTGTTACTCTGATGTGCAGTATTGTGGCCTCAGCAATCAGTTGAGGACTGGTACAAATGAAATTGGTAAAGAGCTGAGTCTGACCCTGCACTGAGACCTGCAAAGCCTGTTCTTATCTGATAGACAGCAAATCTTGCCCTTGGCTTGGCTCAGTTGATGTTTTGTGCAGAGTCCCCAGCCACTAAAAGCTTCTGGTCATGGAGAGGCTGTTGTCCTCACCTGAGCTCTTGGGATTTTCCTACTGAGTCACAGGCAAAGGGAGAGGCATTAGCAGCTACAGAATTCAGAGCCCATTAATATCCATGCAGCCCCTTCCAGTTGCTTCATTGGGCTCCAGGTCAGCCCACAGAACAGGACATCAAACATCCGTGCTTCCACAACAGAATCCAGGGCTCATCAAAGAGAATTTCCCAGATTTATTTGTAACCAAATTTTTGCATTGTTTGAGATAAAATAGTTGTCAAGTGTTTTATAAGCCTGCCTGGTAAATTTTACCCATGTGTTGGGGAATTCCCTGCAGGGGGTGGTAAATGTTGAGGAAAGAGCTATAATGTAATTGTGAAAGCATGAGAAACCATAGAAGGTTTTTCAAATGAATTTTCAGCTTCGTTCACAGCTTGGCTGAAGAGCAGCTGTGGGAAACAAACCCCCTGCGAACTGAAACCACTGAGTCTAGCTCAGAGTCACAATTCTTCTGCTAAGCAGGGAATTTAAGCATTTTGGTGTTGGGGGGAAATGAAACTGGCCCTTGCTCTATTTTGCTGGGTGAGAACTCAGCCTTGCTGTAGGGTTTGGACTTCATTACAGACCAAGTGTTCAAGAGACAGGAAGAAGAAACGGTTATTTTAAATTTTCTCGTGCCCTGAGACAGGGAAATATTCTTGTTTGAAATTTCAGAACTAATCATCAATGACTTAATTTAGAGAGACCTCGAGTATTAGTTTCGAAAGCGTTGGGTCCCTGAGCTGCCTCTGAGTCAGCTGGAGAGCCATGGGTGTTCAGCACACGGGGTGCGAACAAAGACTGCTTTGTTTTTGGGCCGCTCTGAGCTACTGCCCTTCTTGAACCTGGTATCTGCAGAGGTGTATCCTGAGCACCTACTGACTGAACGGGACGTGGAGACGTGGTCAATATCACCTTCTCTTCAGCTCTCGAAACGGGAGGCTTTATATCTCACAGGTCAGTCGTGCATTTACCGTGAGGTAAAAATGCGTAACCTGTGGATGCAGCAAAGAGCAGCTGGAAGGTGGTTGCCCTGACGTGGTGTTCTCCACCAGACTGCGGTAGCAACCCACCAGTGCAGGAGCAGATTGAGATCAGCATCACCACAGACCTGTGGTTCACCTTATTGTTGGTAAGCCATCTGATGGGCCAAGTTTGACGCAGGTTATTGCTATACAGAAAGTGGATGTGTGTGTGTTCCTCCTGTGCCATAATGCTGACTGGAGAAGGAAAGTGTCATCTGAAACACTGGTACTGTATAATAAATTTGATTGTGCTTTAAAATCAGTGCCACGAGGATCCAGATTTTCAGAGGTGCTTTACTGCCCAATGATTTAAATCAGAGTGAGGCATCTGTCTATCTTTTGAAGGTCTATGACCTTATTATATTGGCAATTAAAAGATAAAGAGGTGGTGGTGTTGTTAAGTCTGCTTGTCGTTCTGATAACTTCATCTTCTGTGTCTGCCCTCCAAGGCCTCCTCAACTTTCATCTCAAAAGCACAAAGTTCTCTGAATGAATTTCCATTTGTTGTCGGGCAGATCAGCAGCATCCATGTCGTATCCACCTGCTGCACTGCCTTCATTGACGCATGCAGTCTGTGTGGCTGAGACTTTATCAGATTAGCACTTATCAAACTGCACAGACGCACCCTGGACTCTATTCTTGTATTTCCAGGGTTACGTTGTAGTTTAGTCTGTCCCACAGGTTAACAGTCTTCATTCAGGAAAGGGTTTAAGCACGTACTTAGGCGTGTGAAGCACCCCATTCAGTGGTAATATGACTGCAATCAGCTACCAAGGCATGTATTTAGTGGAAGGAGTAAGTGGGTCCTATTCTCTTGCTCTCCAACCTGAGTTGCTCAATATTTCTCTAATCACTGATGTAACTGAGGCTGACAGCTATCCATCAACAGTGCAATCCTTGTGTGTGTGCTTGCAGAGGTGACAGACATTCAGCCCCAGGAGGGGAAGATTTCACTGTTTTCTTCCAATTTGCTAGCCAGATTGTTTTGGGGAAGGGAAAAAAAGAAGTGCTGGAAGGTTGGCTATAGTTACATGTGACAGTGAATCAAAAAGAACTAATGCTTTGGTTGTTCAGTAAGGAGTCCTGGCTGACTTCACAGTATTGTCTGCAGTTCTTTGAATCATGGAGGGTGTGAGCCTGTCACAGGTCCTTCGGGGGCTTGTAGCTATTTCTGCCTTAGAAATGTGGTTAATCTTTGAGCTGCAGGGATCCTTGGACCGATCTCCAGTGTGGTCACCCAGATAACAGCCATTACACATAGTGATGCATTATACAGCATTTCAATTCATAGATGTTTTGTAAATGATTAATAGTTGCTTTAGTAAATAATTATTAACCCTAGCATGTTTAGTACCCCGACCTGTAAAATGTTTATGACATCTGCAAATAGTTTATTGCCTCCATATAAACTGCTTATAACTGGGTGCTCCGTGTGACTGAGTGCAGGCTGGCAGAGCAGAGATGGGCTCTGACCTGTTACCGAGATCCTCTCTGTTCTCATGGCGTAGCATGGAGCTGAGGACACTGTCTGGCTCTGTGACCAGAGGAGGAAATTGTCTCCCTTTGCACTTGGGCTATTTGCTGTACGTTATCTAGAACTTGTCAGGGCCCTTTGGTCTCTGACACAGATGGGATTTATCTGGGGAGCACAGATGAGTTGCTGTTATTTGAGTGCCGGCCGGAGCAAGTGCTGCCTGCTTCAGTGCTGGGAGGCACTGCGTGGTTACGTTTCCATCACTGTGTGAGGTGGCACTGGGAGGATCAGTTCCTTACTATCTCACTGTCTTTCATCATCCAACCACTTTGTTTGACGTAACTATCTAGATTATGCATCGTTTGAGGCGGCGTCTGAACTTCATACTCTGTCTGATCCTCTAAATTCTACTCAACTCAACAATATACCAAATATGAATAACAGAGAATACAAATACCTGTAGTGTAATTGTGATAAGCACGTTTTACTTTATTCTTCTCTTTCGTCTTGCATTTAATGATGCTTTTGTGTCTGGCTTGGAGCTCCTGCGTTTCCTCCATTTGGATTGGCTTCTGGTGTGAAGTTTAGCAGCTGTACCTTTTATCCATGTGTTCTCTCTCACTGCTGTGTATGTGAAACTGCAGCTTTCTGGATGACAGACAGTTTCTTACGTGGTTACATCAGCCAGAAAACTTCAATACCAGATAGGAATCTGTGCCGCTGTTGTCTGGGTCTGGAAGGGCCTGTGCTCCATCCATCCAACAGCAAAGCTCTGAGGGGCAGAAGGATTCTGTAGTGCTCAGTTAAACCCCCCAGCATCCTGGTGTTTGTGTTGGCTGGTCATGGGCTCTTTTCCTTCTATAGATCCAATCATGATGCGTCGTGTCTCTTTGGATTCTAACGAAGCAGGATCTGAGTTGAATCTGAAGTAAAAGGACAGGCTTTCTGGGACACTCAGGAGCTGGGACTTGTATTGCTGGTAAGAATGTGCAGTCCTGCAGCTTCTCAAGCATTTCTAGAGAGCTTTCGTGCAAAACTTAGTTGGGTTTAGTTTGGTTTATTCTTGTTCTTGTGTGTGTTGTTGTTTTTGTTTGTTAGTTGTGTTTGAAAGGCGCCTCTTTCAGCCTAGGTGACTTCTGAGACTCAGCATGGATGTTTTGGGCATCACAGAATCTATGAGAGTTAGAGAGCTGCCAGAATTATTATTTTTTTCCCCACTGATGGGTTTACATTCAATAAGTATCTGGATTGTTTTGCTGTGGAATCCTCAGAGGATGGGGACCAGGAAGAAAGAAGAGGTTGTCAGCAATTCTGTGTTTCTTGGTGCCATTAATTTAGCACCTGTGTGAGATTTAGCATGGTAATTCCTTAAATCTTAGCACGCTGCTCACAGAGGTAGGATGTCATAAAGGTGTCTGGTAAACAGAT